ATATTTAGGAATTGTGAAGAGGATATTATGAATGCAATAAAACGAACATCATTCGAAAATAGCACAAGATGCAAGAATTAATAATGATTAATAATTAAAATTAAGATTCTAAGAAAGAAAAAAAAAAATAGTTCAATAAATTTTCTATATTATTTTGTTAATTTCTTTAAAATGAATTTGTTAATATCTTAATGATATTTATGATCATATTTATTGTTTGATTTATTTTTTATACTTTAATTAGTGAACATTTATTTTTCATTGTTGATAGTCAGTAATATTTATGAATTCCATTATAATTAATTGATCAATTAATTTAAAATTACTATTATTATTGTTACTAATCTCTTTCTCTCTAATCCTATGTCTTATTTTTTTTATCTCGTATATAAGATAATATAAAAATGATGTATTTAATTTATTAATGTTTAAGCTATTCTATATTATTAAATATATCGATCACTGCCACATTCACTGCCATGATAGTGGCAACAGAATTTTTTTTAAAAACGCATGGCAGTGACGATATTTATTGTATACTATTATAAATTAGTTTTGAACCTTAAGCTGGTATTTTTTTCATGCAGTTAAGAACATACAACTTAATGTATGTGTATAATGGAAATCAGAAAAAAAAAGAAAAAAACAAATGAATGCTGAATGATCAAAGATCATTAATTAAGGAAAAAAAAGAAGTATATCATCGTACATCAATTGTTTTTAGAAAAAATATTATAGTAATGTTTTATTCATTTATATTCACATTATATATATATGTCAAATTATACATTTCTAGGACCAACAAACTGAGAAAGTCACAAAATATTTTATTATTGCTTAATAGCGATCAAATTTAGTAATAATTTATATACACTGTTTATACACACATATATATATATATACATGTATTTTTCATATGGTATATAATTGTAATGTCAAGCGATAAAAATATAAAAAAGAATTTTGACTGATAAAATAAGCTTGTGATCGGTGCACATTAATTATTATTATATATAACAAAAAGAAAATAGAAAAAAAAATAATACAAAATATAAACAAAAAGAAAGAGAATAATTGGCACGATTTTTATCATATAATGATAAATGTTTAATTTTATTTATAAGAATTGATTATTAAATGCTTGTGATGAAAAAATTATAATGAAAAAATATTATTCTTTGTTTTCTTTAATATTTAAAATATAACTATAACAGATAGAAAATTATTAATTATTGTGTCATCAAACATAAATACATATATTACATCAGATATCGTAATATTATCAATATTAGGCTCGATATTAGCTTGTATGTGTATTTTATTTTGTTTTATAATATAAAACATAATAAGTAATATGTTTTAAAATATAAAACATAAAAAGAAAAACATATAGAATGAGGCTTTTGCATGAAAATGTATATTCTTTAAAAAAATTTCCATCATAAAATGCGATTCGTAAACGATCAATTTTGCAATATTGTAACTTTATATAGATTGAGATCTTTTACTTAGTAAATATTAATGAACTCATATTGTTGTATCGAAGAGTGCTATTCTATGTACCATTCATTATATAAACATAGATATACCAAAGAATGTGCAAGTACCTTATTATGAATATCGTCGTGATAATTTGTTAAAAGCAGTTGATTGACTGTATTATATTATATTTATATGCAAATAAATGAATGTGTATGCAAGATGAATAAGGGATCTCGTTCAATGAAAATAAAGAACAAAGCATTCGATCGTATTTATATTGTCTTATAATCCATACAAACATTTTTCAATTATGAAGTTTAATTATTATGGGTATATTTAATCATATATATGTGTTTTTAAAAGAAAAAATAAAAATAGATTTTTATATTTACATCGTTGAAACATTATAAAATCCATATTTTATACAAAAATATACAAAAATAAGTAATCTAAATCTTTGTTAAATAAATAAACAAAACAAAGTAAAAAAATAATTATATGCATATAAGTACACGATTTAATAGGTTAGATGTGTACGAATAAAAACTTAATCCTATTAAAATTCGATTTTAAGAATTAACCTATTTCTTATTCGTGTTTATAATCATATTATATGAGAAAAATATAATGACGCAGTCTAAATATTCTTCAATTAAGTTACAAAATTCATATTATAAAATGTGTTAACACTATAATTATATATTATTACAGCTAAATAATATCTTTATTTAAAATTCTACCAGAAAGAGAAGGCACGTCAATATTATCTTATGAAATAAATCAAGTATGAATTATTCCCTTAAAGATTAATATTTATTCTATTCATATTAACACATTATGGATGAATAATATTCATCATGAATTTATCATAAAATGCACTCAAAAAATTATTATTTTTAATGATATAAATATTTATCTTTTAAGGAATAATTTATAAATTATTAATAATCCAACTAATACCATCCACGAAATACTTGGTTTCAACATTGTCGCTGGATTGCATCCATCGCCGGCACAAGTATAAATACAAGTTCGATAAGTTAACTTGTCACCTTGTTGATTCACATAATCGCAATAATTCCCCAAATCCAGTGCTGAACAAAATCTTTTTGTGCCTATTCCACCTATTTAAACATATATAGGAAAAATAATTTTATTTTATTTAATGCAAATAAAAAGTTTATTAATCTACACAAAAACAATAATAACATGCTTTTATATACATAAGATGAAAGATGTAGAGGGATAACGTATTTCTAAAAGCAGCATGCAATATATATTTTGGTTATTCATTTTTCATAAAATTATTAAATTATTTATATTTATATATAAAATATTTATTTATCTAAAACTTTCCTTTGATCAAAGTTTTAAAGGAAATAAAATCTCTGTGTATCAGAAATAAAGAAAGTCTACAAGTGAACACTCGATATCGAGAACACTCAAAATACAATATATGAACCTCCGAATCGTCCGATCGATTTGATGCAGTATTGTGCATCGTAAACATGATTGCAGTTCGCTGGTCGTAAGGTACTTAATACCAATTTACTATCTCCGCAGCTCAGTTCTTCTTCCGATGTACACTGATAGCAATCCAGAGTAGTCGCTTAATCGATTGAAAAAGTACTGAATATAGCGGTTATTATTATATATACTGCATCAATTAAATGATTTGTTTAATGAGAATTGTTATAATATACACTGTAATTTACCCAACACATTTTCCAATGCTTAACGATTTGTGATAATACATACATTTTAAATAAATTTTAATAATAACCAAAAATTAATAGTTATTATACATTAAATATTAAATATAAAATAGGCCATCCCTTTTTATATGCAGATGTGATTTATAATACGTTAGTCACCTAAAAACCAATTCGAATTGAAATGATTATCGATCGTGCTCTGACTGTTTTCACATGCTTCGATAAATCGATATGGCAATGTCACTAATGATTAAAGGTTAGTTTTCATTTGAAAGTGCTAAGTTTCGCAATTGATTCCCTTTTCCAATATATGTAATCTGATCAGCCGATATTGTTTTACCCTCGAATCGGCCTGTATGCTTCACACAATATTGTGCCTCGAAAACAGCATCACAAGGCTCTGGCTTGATATCGATGTCGCTCGAAAGAAATTCGTTGCATTGGAAGGGATGCGAGTTGTTTGTGCTGATGCATTGATAGCATTGTAAACTGTGGACTGAACGAAAAGAAAAAGAAGAAATTCTGTTTATTTTTTAATTCATGGTTTTGTCAAACTAAATCGAACTAATCGAACAATGTGATTCAAATAATATTATAAATAGTAGTTAATATTATAAATTATAATAAAAAATAAAAACATATTTTAAATATTAATTAAATATTTAATTCTTAATTGATTAAGAAAAATAAACATAAGGTTTTTTTATGAATAAATATGAACAAAATAAAATTTAAAAAATTTTACTATTTATGATTAGAAAAAATATATAATTTCCATAAAAAAAATAATTGACCTATATAGATAATTTTTTATTGTATTATGGAATTTTAAACTAATAATT